AGACCCTCGACCCAAAGACCCCTGGTGGCGCAACCCGGAAAAGCCGCGGGCGTCAAGGACTGACGCGAGGGGGGCACCCTCTGCGTCAAAATAAGATGCAGAGGGAACCTTACCTTAAGCGTCAATATGTGACGACTTGGGAGTGAGAATGTGTAGCTTCAGAAACTGCAGACTCGATCTTTGAGTCTAAACCTTCAAACAGCTCTTTAAAAGGTGTGCAGGAAAGTAAAAAGTCCACATTTTCCTAAAGACTGTCACYTTCYATCACTCACGCAGGCTCTTTAACARACAGATGTGCACCAGTGGTTTGGTCACTGCAGCTTCAGACAGTCCGAGCCACAGGTTGTCTGAGATGCCATCTGCCTCGGTGGCTCCCACCAGCTCAGGAGTTGTCGCCAAGTAAAAGTACACCTGGCTGACATCCATGAAGGTCAGAGCAAACGGAGCTCCGAGTAGAACCCGTAATGCTGTCGTTACAGAGCTTCTATATGAATCTCTTATTATTGCTCCTCTGCAACACACCACCAATGACTGCTGCGCCTGACTCTGACAGATCTGACAGACCTGAATCCTCAGTGTGATCTGAGGGGTACAGCCTGCTCACCAGCTGCTGGCCCTGGGGTCCCCATCCGGCAAACTGCAGGACCGCCTCGTGCACCTCGGGGGGATTTAAAGGCCAAGTTTCCCTGTGAAGGAACCACAATGAAAAGTATGTTGACGACTCATGTGCACAGAATTATGAAGTCAAACACGGTTGTTATTTAAAGATTTTTATATCCCTCATCAATCGTCTCCACTCAGTTTGTGCTGCTTTCACTCAGTCAGCAACAGAGCAGTGGCAAAATAACCAGACAGAGATGGATTACAGGCTAAAACCTAAGAAAGAAAGCAGACCAAAACGCTAAATTGAACAGCAGGTAAACGACTGACATCAGTGAACTAATAATTTAGGGTCAGATTGAGGGCAGCAGTCCGGTCAGAGGTCTGTGAGAGGAAAAATAAAAACACAACAAAAGGTGGGTCTTACTGTGTCACGAGGCTGTAAATGATGTACTTGGCCACATACGAGTGTTGGTAGATCTGTGGAAACATAAATCACTGCAGTCACAGACTGATAAAATCTAAAAAAAAACATGTTCTTAGGAGGTGGATGAATCTTTCACCGGCTTCAGATCGAAGGCAAACAGAACGTGCTGCATGTCTGGGGACACCTGATACTTGGCAGCTCTGGATCTGTCCTGGATGGGGTTTGAAACAAAAACACACAAGTCAGTGCTCTCAAAGAGAAGCTTTTTGTAATTCAGTAAATATATGCACTTTGTTTTGTGGAAGTCTGTTTTTATAGTGTTTGTTCTCGTCTCTTGCTGTCCAACACGATCCAAAACGTTTGCTAATCCTGACAGTTTCAATTTGGGAATTTTAAAATCCTGAGATGGTTATTTCGTTTAGAAAAATACATTTAAAACATTAGTTCTTGCTGCACATTTCTACTTTCAACAAGCTGTACTTACAAAGAGCAGGTTTTGCACAACGACGCTCTGCTCGTTTGTGTCGACATTAAACTTGATAACATCTCCGTCCCTCGATCGAAACAGCAGCTCATTGTCTGTGAGCGACAAAAGGAACAAAATCTTAAGCGTTATTTCATGTTCAGGTCCTTTGCTGCGAGTTATTCGACTATATGTAAAATTTGTCCTGGATTGTCACGTAGCAATGATTAAAATATCTCCCCTGTCAGTCTAAATGTTACCTCCTGAACGTACCCTCATCAAAAACGGACAKATTTTGATGCACGACGGCATAAATCAACGATTTAGAGAGTTCTAAAATCTGAATAAATGTGACAACAAGCGTTCATGGCTCGGACCACACTGAGTATTTAGATGCGAGTAAATGGTTGTTTGTTTCTGCCACTGAAAAACACTTGTGTTTAACTGTATTTATAGAGACACAAACAGGAGGTGACATTTCTAAGTGCAGAACGGCCGCCGGCTGGCAGCTGCAATAACGTTGAGCAGGTTTAATGTGAAGCTCTGAGTTATGAAAGGCAGTGATGGGTTTACAGTTTGTGTCTTTGGTTCGTAAATTAAAAAGGACCTCCTGGTTAATACCTTTAGTCTTTATTGGTCTGACATAATTACATTTTACAATATGTTCCTTTCTTTATTCATCATTCAAAAAACGTGCTCTCTTACAATAACTTGTTTATTTGAACGTTATTGCTTTTCGTTTGCGCAAAATTTTAATGCATGAGTAATTATACTTTTATTCTATACGTACATAACTTTGTTGCAACCATGTTATTTAAAGGGYTTTATAAATAAAGAAGTAGCATTGAGTACAACCAGAAACACTTTTGCTTCTTGTGCGAGGTTGGTTCACTTCAAGAGATTTCAAATCCCAAGAAAATACAGGTGTGAGCTGGACAGAAGCTGCAATTGTAACCAAAAAGAGAAAAGCAGAATGAAGCGTTGACATTCTTGGAAAATGAATATTATTACAGTTTTCGAACATTGAAACTTTGCCGTAGAGGTGTAACTCACAATATATAATCTCACATATGTGACAACCACAGCTGTTCCTCAATAAAACACATAATGGAGCACAAAACTCCTATATAAGTTCACTGAAAACACTTTTTCCCCTTTTTTTAAAGAGTGTACCCACAGGTTTATTCATGCCCGAGAGGACTGAGTCTGCCATCAAGAATAAAAGCAAAACTGTCACTCTTTACATAAAAAGMAYGATTTACTCRTTTCTATCGCTGCTGGTTTAGAAGAATGAACATTTCAAAGGATCTGTTTCACGTTTTAATGCGTCACTCCTCCTGGGATCTAGAGGGAGGGAGAAAAAAAACTGCCCAAAATGACGGACGTAGAGGTTATTAACCGGCGAGGGACTCATCCTAGTTGTGCATTCAGTTAAATCTCAAAAAAGTCCAGTGTCAGAAAGACGGCAGCACCTCTTTGTTTCCCAGCTGAATGTGAAGGTTGAAGCCGTGCCTCCGCCGCTGCGTGAGAAACTCAGAGGTGAGTCCAAAGACTACTGAAGCAAGATGTGATCAAAGGGTAGCAGAGATCAATTACACACCGCCGCGAACCGAGCCCACGAAATATTGATGAGAGCTGCTGGAGCGAGAGGCCGTCCCGTTGGGCTTTCTTATCAAAAAGTCGTTAGCCACAAATGGCACTTTGATTGCATTAACTTAACCGGCGAGCGCAATGTCGCGCCCGTGATTGCCGGCGTTTCGTCAGGTGCGGGAGGCGTTTTCGTCATGAAGGGCAGAGACACGCGAGAATGTAATTAATTTTATGATAATAGGCTGGTAATGTACGTAATCAGAGGTGCATTCTGCAGCAGCAGGACTCGAGGACAGATGTAAGGTCGAGACGTTTCCGCGCACAACACGCCCTCTGATGACTGCAATCAGACGAGTGTGAAACAGGTGTGCGATTATCACAGCGCAGCGTTTGTAACGTTTGTCAGCGTAGAGAAACTTGAAGAAATAAAAAAAGATTTTGAATCAGCAAACAATTTCTGTAAATTGGAGCGAAAAGCGAGGCTTTAGTGTGTGGACCTTTAAGCCAGTGGTTCCCAAACTTTTTATCTTCTGACCCACAAAATATCCATGGCAAAAACTTGTGACCCCAAATATTACTGGTCTGAGYACAYGAACKTCGTTAATAACCCTAAAAACACAGGCTTTTTGACAATCTAAACAGCTTGTACACAAATATAAATACTTATTTATACTTATTTTGTGCTTTTATAATAGTTATAGGGAAAACATTACATCAGCAATTATTTTATTACCCTTTAAATTGATTTCTGGAGATTATCCAAGGTGCTTCATGACACATAATTGGGTCCCAAGCCCAACTTTGGGAACCAAAGTGCAGTGGTTCCCAAACTTTTCAGCTTTTGACCCACAAAATGGTAACAGAGACCTGTGACCTCAACTATTTTTGGATGATAAACATTTGTATCAGGTCAACAAAACATGGGCATAGTAACAATATTTTTATACTACATTTATCCATTTTAAATATATTAACCTCTCTCCTTTGTAACAACTAAGGCAAAAATGTAATTAACTCAGAAAATCTTTTCAGGACCCCACCTTGATATTTCGGGACCCCACTTTGGGTCCCGACCCCAACTTTGGGAAATACTGCTTTAAGCTGTCTCTTTGCGAACTCTAAGAAACCCAAACAAACCTCTGCTGCTTCATGTCTGTTGAAAATAGGATGGAAATTAAACTAAAGTTCAGGCAGGTTAGCWCAATAAATTAATCCCAACTTTTAAACTGAAACAGGCTCAATATGATGTATGGATTCCACAAAACAAGGGTAAGAAAGCTGAAAAGTTTGGGAACCACTGTTATAAGAGACGGAAACCATAAACCACAGCTTGACTTTCATGAAGTAAAAAAATAAATAAATAAAAACAAGACATAAAACTAACGCTGTATGAAATTAAAAAAATAGAACAAAAAGAAAAATCAAACTAAGGACAAACAAACAAACAGATGGAAAACCGTAAGACTGTCCAGACTAAGAGGATTTATTTATTACTCATGTAGTTATAAAAATCACCAACAGGTGATTCACTTCAAATTGCTTGAAAATAAAGATGTTTCTCTTTTTATTATTGTCGTAAAGACAAAAAGAATCAGGGGGAGTGATTTCTACTAAAAGCTCTAAGAGCCAGAACCAAACATGGACCTGCTGCAACAAGCCTCTGCTGCAGGGGTGTCCACTGTCCTGCAGGTTTTACTAATGTCCCTGCTCCAAAACACCTCATTCAATGGTTWAATAACCTCTTCAGGTTCTGCAGAAGCCTGTTAATCACCCATTCATTCAAATCAGGTGTTGCAGCAGAGAAACTTCTAAAACATGCAGGTTAGTGGTCCCACTAACCTGCATGTTTTAAATTTGATGCATGTTTTAAAATTGAGCTTTAAAGTTAGCACCTCCTGCAATTTTTATTTATTTATTTTCTTCTGTTATTAAATTTAAGTAATTATGTTGCTTTAGAGTGATTTATGAAGTAGTTTATTCAGTTTTGAAGTTAATCAATCATCCCTATTCATGTAATTTAAAGCACTTTTATCGTTTTACAAGCAGTCTTTCTTTTTTTCATTTCAAACAAAATTAGTTGAAAAATGACTTATTTTTACAGGAAAATAATCAGYGCTCATTAAAAGCAGCTGTGTATAGAAATCACTGACAGCCTGAATGAATCTGAGGAACAAGCAGCCCTGATTCAGTGCTTCATGTCTGAGGAAAACATCATGAAGCAGTGTTTCAGCTGACCACCAGGGGGCGCTGACTCCACTGATCTGACCCGGATGAGCCCAGGTGGCAGCTTCCAGCTCACTTATATTTGAAGGCGTGAAAAGAAAGCARAGTTAAACTGTTGAACTCTGAAAGTCTGACATGTTAAATCACGTTGTTTTCTGCACAGACACAAACTGCAATGAGATTTTTTTTTAATTCACGCTCTTTGGAGGACATTTGTCGGCAGTTCTTTTATTGGGGCAGTTTGCGCCACCATTAGCTGCACAAAAAGTCCAATTTAATGTTCCTCCTCTGCTTTGTTGGTGATGTGATTTGATTGRGATTGAAAAACAAAGCTAATTTCACATTTCATCTTCTTGTTTTTGCTCATAAAGCCGAACTGTTACAGCTGCCTAACAGCCTCTGCTCTCCTCTCTAATTTGCATCTTACAGTTCAAACGCAGTTTAAATGAACAAACACCGTAATTGAATGTTACACTCTACAGAATTACTTTCCATTTGTCCTAAAATTAGCTCTTTTTTTGGGTGGTTGGAATACAATGTGTGGATGCATTTTTTTTTAACTGTAGAATTGAACATACGTGTAAAGTTTTTTATTATTATTATCTCCCTGCTGGYTTCTTCTGGTGTGGACATGTTTACAGATGAAGCTGTACTTCCTAAAGGAATGTGTCAGATATGAATACCAGTGGTAAATTGTGAACAGAGAATGGAAATGTCAAAGTGTCTGAATGTGAGCTGTGTTTTGACAAAGGAGTCAGATTTTTAAATGTCAAAGCCAAGCGGGTAACCTACCACTGAGCCATTTGGATTCTGGGTCGTGGATGTGGAGGTCCGTACCGAAGACGTCCTCGACGGTGACTTTCTTCTTAAGAGCCAGGCTGTCATCTTCATCTGTCGAGAGAATCGCAGATAGACGCATGAACCTGTGAACATTAAATATGACTCACTGCGGTGGAAATACTCGGACGATGGAGTGCCGAGGCCACTTTTAAGAGTTACCAGGCCTCTTTAGCTGCAAATTCTCAAGTCGAGCTTATTCCCGGCGTGGGTTGGACTCTGCTTGCTTGGTCTCTGATCCTGTTTGTGGTGCTCATAAACAGGGTCTCAAGGTGCAGTCATGGAGAGGATTGTGTCTGGTTTGGAACCTCGGGGTCTCCTCTCTGTTTATTTTTGCAGATGTGGTTCTGTTGATATTTTCAGGCCTTCAATGTGAGGTTCCRGGCCCATCGTTAGACAGCTAAGATGCTGCTGTGGTTCTCAAAGAACGAGTTAAGGAGTTCAAGTATCTTGGAGTTTTAATGAGTGATGGTATGATGGAGCAGGAAGTGGATAGATGGATCGGGCCTTTGTCTGCAGAAATGAGGGCGTCGGACCATCAGTTTAACTCAGCCTGAAGCAGGGTCCACAGTTTTTTATTGACACAACCAGAGGGTCATACTGCAAAAAATGTCCATCTAACCAAGTCTTATGATCTTTTATCTAGTTAAAAATATTTTAGATCTGGTTCTGATAAGATCAGAATGAGTAAGATTATTAATTATTATTCTTCACTCTAATTTGACTCAAATTAAAGGGGCAATATAATGTAAAATCAACTTTTTTGAGTTTTATATCATGTTATAATGTTATACTCTCATAAAAACATGCCCAGAGTCTTGCTTTGACTCATTCGTGCATGTTTGAGAAATCCTGCAGCGTTTTTAGGAAGCCATGCTGAGGAGCAAAACAACAGGTGGGGACCAGAAACGCCCCTGGGA